TCTCTTTGCCTGATGTTTAAAAAAGCTTTAATGTACTCTACTGCATTGGTATTCATAAAGTTTAATTTATTTCTTATGAAATTATTTATCTCCATTTTAAAATGAGAAAACAGAAATTCCAAAAAATTAAGTAACTTGCCCAAAGTAAGTCAGCAGGTGGACTTGGAACATTTCCAAGTCTAATGATAAACTCCATGTATATCAACAATCAACTTTAAAGACTAAAATATGAAAATATTAATAAACCAATCTACTTTATTGCAGTTTAGGTGAACCTATATTAAGGATGATACAAAGTAATTTTTATATTTCCTACCTCCTTCTGCTTTAGGTAATAGTTCACTTCCACAAATAATACAATAAAGTCCTGACTGGCAAGGCAGGTTACTTGGGTCCTTTTACAACACATAAGAGAGATCAATGTTTGAAAGAATGGTTAATATTAAAGTATGAATACCACAAGGCAGTTTGAAAATAAGAGAAAATATACCTAGGTAATACTTGATACAAAATAATAACTATCAGTATTGACTATCCTTAAATCTTTTCAACAACTATGAATCATATATAAATGATGGCATCTAACTTAGTTTGCATAAATGATGCTCCAATTATATAATCTCATACTTTATATTAGCAAGAGGCCAAATGAAACATTTTAATATTGAACTTTGTAAATACTGGTATAAAATAATTTAATGTAAAATGATGAAATTTTGGGGGAAAGCATGAGCATCAAAATGATAGAAACTGCTTAGAAAAGACCAAGATTTAAAAAATATAAATCTATTATGAAGAATAAGATGTCTACATGACTGCCTTGATAATAAATATTACTTTTAATCAGTATTTACCCTTAGATTTTCAAAGGTTAATTTCTGAAAATAGTTGTTTCAAACACTTTTTGTATTTCTTCTAATACATTGAAGCTCGTTCATTATAGAGTGGAATTTGGTATAAGATGGGTTGTTTTGGACCTAGTCCAAGAGTTTAGTTACTGAAAGCACTTCATTCTTAGGAGGTTTCACCAATAAGGTGATCCACTGGCTCAGATCCTCTGGATATTATAACAAGGCTCCATTGTAGAGTGCAGGAAGCCAGGCAGCTAATGGTTCGTTCTATCAAGTGAAAGCTTAAGAAACAAAATTCTTTTTTCTTTTTTTTGGTAGGCATGAAAATCGTTTAAGGCTAGAGAATTAATAAACTTAGGTCATCTGTCTACATTTCCATTCCCTGAAGTGATGTTCTTTTTGTATGTTAACAGCTGCACAGATACTTCATGTTATGGTTTTAGCTTCCTTAGACACTTGTTGTCTGATACAGTCTTAAGTTTACTTTTTGTTATTAAAATTTTAATATTAATAATAGCTTTCTATTTATAAAAGGCTGACTGCATTTTTTTTATAAACACAGACAAAAAACTACCAAGAATTCATAAAGGTTAAAGTAGAATCTTGTTTAGCTCATTAATAAATATTAAAAAGAGCACAAATAAAAGTAATTGTTAGGCCGAAACCGGTTTGGCTCAGTGGATAGAGCATCGGCTTGGGGACTGAAGGGACCCGGGTTCGATTCCGGTCAAGGGCATGTACCTTGGTTGCGGGCATATCCCCAATAGGGGGTGTGCAGGAGGCAGCTGATCGATGACTCTCTCTCATTGATGTTTCTAACTCTCTATCTCTCTCCCTTCCTCTCTGTACAAAAATCAATAAAATATATTTTTTAAAAAGAAAAAAAAAAAGTAATTGTTAGGTAATCATAAATGACATCATACCCCCAAAAATGACATCACTGATATTAAATGACTACAATAACCAGTCTTTCATGTAATTTTACATCAGGCACTTTGATTTTGTGAAATTTTATAAGCAATCCTAAAGAATGAAATATTTTGAATGTGTTTTACCATAGGAAAATAACATGACATAGTCATATTGCAGAAAAATAATATGGAAAAGCCTTTTAAAAAATCAATGTCTTAAAGATCATAAGGAAGACTAAAAACAAAGCCTTGTGTGAACTCTGAAACAGTGTTAAATTAAAAATCATGTAATAATTAAATGCATAGTAGTAGCAGAGTAAGAATTGTCATTAATTTCCAACAAAGCTATAACAAGTTTTAAATTTCAATAGTCAAGACTGGAAACATCTACTCTTTATATTGTACCTTTCTTCCATGAATAAAGCCCTTTCTCCAACTGGTAGTTTTCCTGGTTCGTGGCCTGTATGTTCTATAAACTTTCAGCCCTTGAATAAATTCAGTATTACATAATTACTTCATATGCATCAAATGGGTAAGGAAAACTACCTGATAAACAATTTCTATCTTAAATATCTCAAAGTCCTAAAGAATAAATCAAATAATTTTCCTTCTAACCATATAACAATTTTTAAATTATTTTTTATTATTGACATTATTACAGATATCCCTCTCCCCACTTTGCCCACCTCCACCAGCACCTGACCCCTCATCCCTCTGGCCATCATATATAATGATTCTTTATTGTTGGTCTGTCTATCTATCTATCATCTATCTATCTATCTATCTATCATCTATTATCTTCATCATCATCATCATCTCCAGATATATCATTGATTTACTAATAACTGATAGTTTGCCATGTGCCAAGTACTCTTTTATTTTTATTTATTTATTTTTAAAATATATTTTATTGATTTTTTTATAGAGAGGAAGGGAGAGAGATAGCTAGAAACATCGGTGAGAAACATCAACCAGCTTCCTCTTGCACACCCTCCACCAGGGATGTACCTGCAACCAATGTACATGCCCTTGACTGGAATCGAACCTGAGACCTTTCAGTCCGCAGACCGACACTCTATCCACTGAGCCAAATCGGTTTTGGCCTAAGTACTCTTTTAAATGCTTTTACATATTTTAATGTATTTAACTCTCTAAAACATCTCTTTAAAAAGTACGTAATCACTAATGAAAATGTGCTATGACTACTGTATTATAAAGGCTAATACTTTTGCAATATCCACTTAGTCAAAATTATAATCTAAAGAGACTATATATACACCTGATTCAAAATTGACACCATTATAGAAAATTTTTGAAACACCTCTTAGAATTACTAAAAGCTGTGGCACATCTCTACATACTCCAAATAAAGAACTTTTTATCTTTAGACAGATTGGAAGGAATAAATATTAGGGTAAAAGGATGGTATTTGAGATCAACTTGGATAATAACACTAAGATACAACTAAAATATAATGTGTTTGGTTTTTCTCATGTAGTTTTCCAATTTTTCTAAAGGCAATGTTTTAAGCACAGCATTATTAAAATAGATGTCTTGCTTCTCAAGTTATTATGTACATATTCATAAAATTATTCCCTTAAAGGTAGATGAGTGGCATTTCCCCTACTCTATAAAATGGTTTGCTTAACTTCACTCATTTTTAAAACAAAAGCAATCGAAAAATAATTTAGAATAAAACAACATATATATTCCTTTAAATTATAGAATTTTAAAGCTCAGATTTACATGATTTTATAGTATTAAATCCTGCATTTCACAGTTAAAACACTTCCTAAAAGGCATAGTAATTGACAATATGACTAAGCTAATTAGTGGGAGAACCAGGAATAGAGCCCAAATCTCTTTTTTTCCTTCACCTGGTATTCTTTCTACTACTCCATTACCCTTATCTGCAAATTTAAAAATATACCAGAGAGGAGAAATGGTTATACACTTTCAAAACAATTTAGAAATTCCCTTCTAATCTAATGCTATGTAACTTATTACTCAATGATCAATTAAAAAAACATGTAATACTAGGTGGGATATAATACATCCCAATCTCTAGATGAATGCTTTAACTGGTAAATTATCAATTTGAACTATGCTTAAGAGTTATGTCGTCCAAACAGTTAAGCTGTATTCAATCTAAATGCCATCAAAATAAAAGTAAGCACATGCATATGTAATAATTTATCATCCAAATAAATATAAAATAAACTTGATTGCTGGGAATTGACTTGAAAATAATAAACCACTTCCACAACTTCAACAGGTCGTAAAATTTCAATTCAAATCACTCACAAGAAGACGAAATGTCCATAAAATAATAGATATTTCTTAGAAAAATGTCAGTGAATGTAATTTTGGAATGATGTTAGAGAAGAGCATCTTTTATAACCATTTTTGATAAGAAGTATAGCTCCATTCACAAAAACCTAAAGTCAAAACTTATAGACTTTTTGAGTTATAAGGGAACATTTTAAAGCTACAGTTACATGTTTACACTTATTTATTAAATTTACATACGAAGTTTTTTATCTTAATAGTTGCAAAATTAAAGCCTTTATGCTAAAACATGTCACTTTTCCTCCCAATGATAATAAAGGTAGATAATCAGAACTGAAAATTTGGCTTCCTTCATTTGGCATTTTATAACTTTACATAAACTTGCTTAAAACATGCTTGATTTTACTTTATCAAATAAACAAATGTAAGACAACATCAATTTAAAATGCATGTAGTTTTCTTCCTTAATTCTTAATTATTATTAGGCAGTTTAATACAGGAATACATTTTTAAAGAAAACTTTGATTTCTAAAAGAAATGTCAGACCAATCTGAGGTAAAAATCTATAATAAAATATTATTGGTTTACACTGTTGTTAATTTTTATGTATCAGATGAAAACAAAGGATGAAGTCCTATATATAAATGTTTATGTAAAATTTAAAATGCCCTAGACAACTATATATCTTTTAGGTTAATTGATTCTGAATTGCACTTAGCCAAGGAAGACTGTTGAAAGAAAATAATTTTGAATGAATCACTTTATCAAAACTCAAGAATAGTAAAACAAATATTTAAGAACTTAATATACTTTTAAAACTCTTATGGCAATTAAAGGAAAAAATATATCTCAAATTTTAAAAAATTATACCTAGCTAATGTATGTTATCATTTATAATAAAGTTTAATATAAGGACAATATATTTTTATAGCTTGACAGTTAAGTATTATTATCTAACACCAGGGAACACACCTTTATTTTTGGGAGGAGACTGTTTAAAGTCTTTTATATCCATTTCATGAGTTTTCTCCAGTTCTAATTCATTTATATGAGTTTTTATATTATTATCGATATCATCTTTACTTTCTTCAATATGCGTAAGTCTATTTAACTTTGTGTCTGAGCAATCCTCAACTTTCATTTTCCTGACTGAATCTACTTCTTTTGTAGTCCTAGTTTCAAAAAGATCTTCAGCTAAAATACAATTTGAATCATTGGTCAATCTATTGTCTCTATCAGTTTCAACTAGTTCATTTTTTTCTTTATTTGTATCTACAGGATCATAAAGTTCAGGGGTAAAATAGATAGATTCATCTTCTGCTTCTGCTTCAAAATCTCTATTTGAAGCAGAAAGTTTATCTTCTTCACTCACTAGAGATAATTCAATGTCTGGATCCAGGGCTTCTTTAGAGCAGAGTAGCTGTTCAGAATGATCTTTTTTAAGAAGAGCAGCCTCAGTCTTTATTGATGGAATAATAGTTTCTGATTGAGAGCATGGTTCAAATGATGTGTTTACTTTTAGAGATGAAGATTCAAATTTATCAGTGAGTGGCAAAACAGTTTCACAATCCTTTTCTGTTTTGAAAGTGGAAGAACTAGAGGCACAGTCCTCTGATGACCTAAACTTAGATGCTGTAGTCAGAATTTTACCAGAAAAACACTGCCCCAGAGAATTAGAACTAGACCAGCTAACTCTATTTGCTTGTTTGTTGAAGGTTGGGCTTGCGGATCTGGAAATCCCAATGTTTTCTGCTTCCATTGCCTGGCCAGACTCTTCCAATACTCCTGGAACATCTATGAGTACAAAAATGTAAAAATGTTAACTGTTAAATGTTTCTGTTCCATGCATAATAATAGTTTTATCAAAATGATTTTTGTTAGAAATACTACAATAACTGTAAAGGAGACAAAATCCTGAACCCACAACCAGTAGCAGGATTTCCATCTTGGAATGTAAAGCACAAAATATTAACTCTGAAAAGAACCTTATGTCTCCAGTGAGTCCTAACCCAAGTTACAATGCTGTATGGTAAATTTTCAAATCCCACACCAGGAACCTCAGGAGTGAATGAGAAAAAGGGTAAAAAGAGGAAGAGGGCTGAATAAAGGAGGGAACAGGCTGTAATAACTTACTTTTTAAATCCACTAACTAGTTACTGACTTAGACTAATTCCCTTAAGGAAATTGACCCTATCTAGACTAAGATATAAAACTGGTTAGTGGCCAAGACCGGTTTGGCTCAATGGATAGAGCATCGGCTTGGGGACTGAAAGATGCTGGGTTCGATTCCGGTCAAGGGCATGTACCTTGGTTGCGGGCATATCCCCAGTAGGGGGTGTGCAAGAGGCAGCTGATCGATGTCTAACTCTCATGTCTATCTCTCATCGATGTTTCTAACTATCTCTCTCTCTCTCCCTTCCTCTCTGTACAAAATCAATAAAATATATTAAAAAAAAAACAAAAAATAAATAAATAAATAAATAAAACTGGTTAGTACTCAGACTTGAACTAGAACCAAGATTTCCTGATTACCAATATAATGACCTTGAATTCACTATGGCATTTATTGTATACTAGAGGTCCGGTGCATGAATTCGTGCACGGATGGGGTCCCTTGGCCTGAATGGCAAGGTTGGCCGGGGGTAGGGACTGTGGAAGGTTAGCTGGCCATGGGAAGTTGGCTGTAGGAGCACAATGGCCACCAGAGGGCAGCTCATGCATTGAGCGTCTGCCCCCTGGTGATCAGTGTGCATCATAGCTACCAGCAGGTAGCCCGGTTGTCTGGTTGTAATGGTCGCTTAGGTTTTTATGTATATAAATAGAAGCATATACTATAAAATAAATATTTAAAAATTGATATATTAAACTATCATATATTCATTAAAACAATTGAAATAATACCAATAATATATCCACAGTTTGGCAAACTTTTTCTATCACAAACCGGACAGTAAATTTTTTTGGTTTTGTGGGTTTTATTGTATTTGTCACAACTACTCAATTGTGCTGTTCTGGTGTATTAAGTACAATTACTCAACTCCACTTTTGTATATAATATGTAAATGAATGGATGTGACCGTGTTCCATTAAACTATATTTTTAAAAAATACATAGCAGGCCAAATTTGGCCCAGAGGCCATAGTTTGCCAGTCCCTGATATTGACCATTATATTCTAATATATTTTGAAATGTTTTTTTTATCATTTAGAATACATGACTTTATTTCCCTAAACTAAGAAATTTATGTAAGAAAAAAGATCTATAAGTGAGACCAATTTTCAATATAACCTTTAGAAAAACATCTAGCATTTGCATAGTACTTTATAATGCTGTAATATTTATCATGTTATTAAATCTTTACAACACAGCTTTGAGGGATAGGCATGCAGATAATCCTTTTTCAATTAAGACTCAAAAAAGGTTAAGTGACTTGCTCCTCGTCACAAAGCTAGTTAGTAGCAAAGTTGTTGTTGTTTTTTAATATATTTTTTATTATTGATTTGAGAGAGGAAAGAAAAGGAAGAGAGAGAAAGAGAGATAGAACGATCAATGATCAAAGAGAATCATTGATCGGCTGCCTCCTGCAGGCCCCACATTGAGGAATCGAACCATGACCTCCTGGTTTATAAGTCAACACTCAACCACTGAGTCATGCCAGCCAGGAGTAGTAGCAAAGTTTGTTAATGAAAAATCAGAAAATGTGCTCAGCTCTTCTGACCAAAGTTTGTTCCCATTCCAATATACTATACTACTTCACTAATTTATGACAATACTTTACATTGCAAACCAAGGACATTAATCTATAACACAAAAATATCACTCCACTAAATATAATGGAAGACTTTTCTATCAAATGAAAATGGACAAAGCTTTTCATACATTTGTCCTTCCTGGAGGTGATGTCACTTGGGAGAGATGAACTTTTATTCATTTTACAATATTTTAATTCTTAGACACACATTTTTTCCTTACCTTCCCTAGGATTTTCTGGTAATAGAGGATTTGCTGCTTCTAAAAAGTAAGGTGAGGTATTGTCCTTCAAACAAGCCACTTCATGTGTACACTGCCTGTCCTGTGGAGACTTTCTGTCCTCTTTGGATACATCAATGAACTTTCGGTGCTTTTTGGAAAATTCAGCCAAAGAATCCAGGGCACTTTCAAAGGTTGAATGGTGCTGAACCTGCTGCCGTACCCATTTAGAAAGTCCTAAGGAAAAAGTAAACCCAGGGAAGAAACTTTGGTTATTCTATATTATTTATGATATTTGGTTATGATGATATTATGTATTAAGAAAAACTTGGATAATTTTTCTAATGAAGTTATCTAGAAATTAGAGTAAATGCCATTTCCCCGAAAATAAGACAGTGTCTTATATTAATTTTTTCTCCCAAAGTTGCGCTTGGTCTTATTTTCAGGGAATGTCTTATCTTTCCATGCACTAGGTCTTATTTTCGGAGGATGTCTTATTTTCAGGGAAACACGGTAGAATGGTTCTCAATACTCTTCCTGCCTTTTTACCTTCATATGTACAATATGCTCATATATCAGTAACATTTCTCTTTATATGCAACTGGAGAGAGAAAAGAGGCAATGGGAGTAAAGTGAGGGAGGAGCAGAATTTTTGTCAGTTTAGAACAGTGGTCAGCAAACTGCGGCTCGTGAACCACGGTTTGTCACTCTGTTGACTGAGTTTGCTGACTACTAATTTAGAATAACTCACAAATAAAGCAAATTAATTTCACAATTCCCCACAAAAATTGGCTGCCTTTTCATTATAGGGAAACTAGAAGTTGTAAACAACACAATTTTGCATACCTACTTTCTAAATTTCACCCCTTTTGCAAAAATAAATTCAATATTTCAGTCTCATAGGTTTTTTTGTTCCTTTCCCTCCCCCCCCCCCCCCACCAATTTCAAATATACATTAAACTACGCTGGGGTCAAAAGGAATAACACTGTTTTATGGGTAAATCATATCCTATCTAAATATTACATTATTTTTAAAACATTCAAATAATGGAGTTGTAAGGGACAAAATTTTGATCTAGGACATATGAAAACTGCATAAAAACAAACCATAAATTTTAATCTAAGGGGCTTTAAATTAGACTCACTTCAGAATGAAATTCAAAATCAGATATTCAAACTTTTGAGAAATAAAGTTGTCTACTAATATTACTGAAATTATCATCACCTTTTGGAGTAATTTAAAAAGTCGCTGTGGCCATGGCTTGTGTGTCTCGGTTGGGTATTGTCCTGGGCACCCAAAGGCTGCCAGTTCAATTCCTAGTCAGGGCACATACCCAGGTTGCAGACTTGATTCCTCTCTCTCTCCCTCTTCCTTCCCCTCTCTCTAAAAATCAATAAAAAATATTTTAAAAATAAAAAATATAAAAAATAAAAAGTCACTATGGTGACTACTATTTTTTATTTCAAATACATTCCTTTATTTGTTTTTTAATGGAGTTTTTATATCAGTCTTATGTATAAAAATTGAATTTAAAAGGATATCAGTCATCAAAAGAAATTTGTATTTTGTGCTATTGTCCAGATACGAAAAAATTTCAGTCTCAAAAAAATTAATTAAAACCATACAGAAATAAACAAAATATATTTAATTTTAAAAAATCTCAACAAATCTGAACTATAAGGTAAAAGTTTAAGTACTAGATTTTAAAATAAAAAAATTAAGAATTTCCTTTAAACTTCTTTTTTTGGTTGCTAGGAGAAAATAATTACACAACCTAATAATATGAAATTTTCCAAAATTGAGAAATTTTAGTACTATAGTTACCTATTCCATTTTGATCATTTTGTAATCAAAGTAAGCCTTTGCAGTGTAAAATGTCAGTTTACTTTTGAAACTTGAAAGAATCTGAGCTCCACCTGCTGACTAAACATAAGCACTTAACATTTTGCTTTTAGTTATGTCTTGACCTAAGCACAATGGTTTGCTTTACATTCAAAAGCAAGACTAATAAAGCAAAATTTGCTGCTTTAATCCATCCAAGGTGGATATGTTTTTATATCAAACCAAATATAGTAATTAGGCTCTGAAATGGAAAAAGTATAGTCTATACTCATAGAAAGCTAATCTGAAATTTAAAATTCAGCAACTTTTCATTATAGTATAGTATGAACTTTCTAGCATTAAAGATAATAATAAAGATGCAAATATTTCCAACAGTTCTTCAATAACTGATGGGTTCCTGGTATTGCCTCTAACGGGATTGTGTTACTGCAAAATAAAGACTACAGATGTTCATCAACTCATGATGGAGTTACAGCTTAATAAACCCACTGTAAGTTGAACATATTGTATGTCAAAAGTGCATTTAAAATACCTAAACTACCAAATGTCATAGCTTAACATAGTTTACCTTAAATATGCTCAGAACTCTTATATTAGCCTACAGTTGCTCAAAATTATCTAATTTGAAACCTATTTTATAATGCCCAGCATCACCAAAGAGTATCCTACCACACATCACTATCCCAGGAAAAGTTCAAAATTCAAAATTCAAAGCATGGTTTCTACTCAAAGTGTATAACTTTTGTACAATTGTAAAGTAGAAAAATCCTAAGTCACACCAATGAAAGTCAGGGACCACCTGAATAGAGACATAATACTAGTATTTGTTCATCTGAATGGGGGGAGAAGACTGTTTAATTTTGTGGCATGCAATAGTGTTTTTCCTTTTAGAAAATATGAGCTCTGATTAACATAAACTCTGTAATAACTGAAGCATTTCTGAACAAGCAAATCAACAAATAAATACAACAAACCTCAACATAACCCAGAATGAAATAAAGAATGCTAAGTAGCAAAAGGAGATGTGCTTAAATATAAAATTTAATATTTCTTAGAAAAGTCATTTCTGTAGAACAGATTTCCCCCTAACAATGCTAAATAAATTATTAGTGTTACTGACTTAAATCCCACGTTCTATTAATAAGAAATTAAAGAATTCTAATTGATTAATACTTTGTTGACAACTAATCAGATTCTCCTCTATAAAGACTGTTTTCTTTTTTGTTTTGTTTTTGCAAACATAAGCACTAAAAGGCTAGAATTCCTTTCAATATTGATTTTCCATGTTTGATCTAAATGTTCAAATTCTTACAATGCAATACACAGATGATATATCATAGAATTGTGCACCTAAAACCTATATAATTTTATTAACCAATGTCACCCTAATAAATTTAACTTAAAAATTCTCTAATTCATTATCTTTAAAAAGAGAAGTAATTAAAGATTGTTATTAATTCATTACTCTAAGCCAAGCAGAGAATCTTACCAGATATGTATCGATTTGGGTTACTCCTGAAGCGGTCATCCACTAAAATAAGAGCTCCCCAATCATTTTTGTGTCGAATACATCTATAGAATATAGGAAGAAAATAAAACAGATATAACTTTCAAAATAAAAGCTAAATTTCTAATGGGAAAGATAGAAGACTGAAAAAAATCAATTATGTGTCATTGGTTTATAATCCTTTAATCAAACTAATTATTACGATCAAGGTTATACTTAATATTGTACCTAAGTAGCTCTATAACAAATACCATACTTCTGCTGACTATTAATAACTCAACATCCCAAAATGTTATATGCATCTATTTTGAAAGACCAAAAAAATGTATTTTCCAAAACTTTTCTTAGCCACACAGACTATTTTATACCTCATGTATTATATTGTTAGTTTTATGTAGATGACCTTTATTCTAGTTTAATGAGTTTTTATAAGTGAATGTTTAATTTTATAAAAATCTTTTATATGCTCATGTAGTTTTTCTTCTTCAGATTGTTAATGTGGTAGATAATATTGGCAAAATTTTGAATATTGAACCTGCCTTTCATTCATAGGATAATCACATATGGTCATGAAGCATTACTCTTTCTATAGATTGCTGGATATGATTTGCTAAAAATGTTAAGTTTAAACATACAATTCAGTGGTTTTTAGTGCATTTACAACCCATACCACTATTATACAACAGTCTTATTTCACCAAAAAACTCCCAGTGCCCATTATTAGTCACTCCCAGTTATCCCAATGATTCTCCCTAAACCATGGCAACCTCTAATCTATTTTCTGTCTTTACAGATTTCCTATTTTGGGCATTTCCTATAACTGGAGTCATACAATATTCAGCATTTTGTGTCTGGCTTCTTTCAGTTAGCATGTTTTTAAGGTTACCTGTATTGCATATAGGTACTTCGATCCTTTTTGTGGCTGAATAATATTTCACTGTATAGATATACCACATTTTGTTAACGGGCTTTTAGGTTGTTTCCATCTTTGGACAATTATAAACACTAGTGCTATAACATTTGTGTACAGGTTTTGGTATGAATACAAAATTTTTATCATCTTGGGTATATAACTAGGGGTAGAGTTGTGCACTTTTAAAGAAAGAACCCATGCGGGCACATCCCCAGTTGGGGGTGTGCAAGAGGCAGCTGATCGATGATTCTCTCTCATTGATGTTTCTAACTCTCTATCCCTCTCTCTTCCTCTCTGTGAAAAATCAATAAAATATATATAAAAAATAAATAAATAAATAAATAAATAAATAAATAAATAAAAAATAAAGAAAGGACCCATTGGAAATTTTGGAGTTGAAAAGTATAACTGAGTAGGATAAAGAAATAATCAGTTTAATTAAAGTTAAGTTAATTGAGCCCTTTCAATCAGAAAATTATGCCCTCTAATTCTGAGCATTTTTCTGAAAATTATTTCTTTGCTGTTTCTTTCCCCTATTTTCTCTAGTCTTTTAATATGGATTATAAGTTGGTTCTTGCAAATAATCTTTTTTTTTTTTTTTTAAGTTCTTTCCTATTTTCCCTATGTCTTTTTGATCTGGAAAATTTCTATTTTATCTTCTAAGCCCAATTCTTCATTTAAAATTTGTTGCTATAATGTTAATGTCCAGGAGTTTTTTCTTGTTTTCTGTTCTTCCTTTTTAAAGACACTTAGCTTACCTCTCTATAAATATTACTGATACTTATTTTTTTAAAAGCTTTCTTCCATCCAGAGTTTAGCAAACTATGAACCACATCTTGTTTTTGTGCAGTCTGCAAGGTAGAAGTGGTTTTTACATTTTTAAAGGGTAAAAGAAAAAAAACAAGAATTTGGATGCAAAACATATGGCATGAAAAGCCTAAAATATATACTGTCTGTCTCTCTATGTAAAAGGTGTGCTGACCACTGTTCCACTGCACTGTTTCTGTTTTCTATGAGTTCTTCCACCCTGTTTTGTTGGTATTATTTTGCTATTGTTTTGGTTCCTATATCTCATGATATAGATATTCTTCGAATATCTAAAGACTCTTGGTACTTCTTAAGGATAAGGCACTAATTCTTGTCAGTTCTGTAATCTTATAGGCCAAAAGGCTTCACAGTAAGGTAATCTGGTAGGAGCCGGACCACTTTGTCAGACCCTTACTCATGGAGTGGTCAGTTTCCTGGAAGAGAAATGTTGTACTTTCCTGAGATGTAGATATAACATTGTCAGCTTACTCAGAACTTACAAGAAAAAGGAGATGGAGTGCTGACATTCAGTAGGTAGACTTTTCTTAAACTCCATCATTAATACATCCTTAGCTGTAACCAGGAGTTGAAGAATATACAGACTCTAGTTTAATTGCTCTAGAGAGTAAACATGAATGGGGGAGGGAGCTATCAAACTATTTTTTATACTAACTTGCAACCAATCCTCTGTGTTTAGCCTTACATTAACTGAAACTTTAGAGTGACTCCAAGTCCTAAGCTTTTCCATGACTGAATCTGGAGGATCCTCTTAGCTTTCATAACTATGGATTTAAATTTCAGTTTTCTCTTGCCTTGTTAAGTTATTCAATCACTCATCTTTTTTCTAGTGTTCAGAATTTGCTGACATCTCGTCTGTCATTGTTCCTTCTGCAGCTCCTTTTTAATTTTGTAGGTTTGGCATTTTTATTCTTTTACTACCGTGGGATTTTGAGAAAGGGTGAAGATTAATATAAATGTTTGATTTTTCCACAGAGACTTAAAAAAATCTAAATCTTATATGACATCCTTTTTGATCAAAAGTTTTGTTATCCATGCGTTCCGAGGCATCAGACCATAAAATTGGGCAGAATGGGAAGATGGATATTGCCAACATTATAGGACAGTGTCGAAAATCAATAGAAGTCAGGCTGGCACTCTGTTTTGGTTCCACTACAGTTTATATTTAAAGTGCCCTATGAAAGAAAGGCATTTAACTTAAAAAAAACAGTTCAGAAAAACAGATTTCACCTTTTCATTTTCCCATTGTTTTCATACTGCCTTGCTCAAATGAATTACGCCCACTTTAGACAAAGATACTTTTAGTAAAGCAGACCTGTTAGGAAACTCATAGTGCAGTTATAACCTGGTCACAAAACCATATGGTACATTCCTGAAAGCTGTTATTACATTTCAAGGACTTATATTACTTCAATACTCATGTGGCCTTAAAAAAAGATAGCACTTTTTAACATAATTTGTTTCTATTTACTTTAGACACTCTAGACATATCCCTTTAAGGACAGTGCCTAAAGAAAAGCACCTTTTATATCAATCAATACACATTATGAATATTGTCAAATTATGTAAAATATTTACTTGGTTTTTAAATGGACATGTTCCTATTAGTTGTTACTTTTGTTATTGTTGCCCTTAAAAATCAATGACAGTTATGTTACTCATTTTTTAATTAATAAAATACTCTAACTACAGTATATATAAATAGTAGAGGCCCAGTGCACAGATTCATGTACCAGTGGGGTCCCTTGGCCTGGCCTGTACCCTCTCGCAATCCATGAACCCTTGAGGGATGTTGAAGAGCTAGTTTTGGCCCAATTCCCACAGGCCAGGCTGGGGGACCCCAATGGTGCATGAATCCATGCACCAGGCCGATTTCAGCCAATCCCCATAGACCAGGCCGAGGAACCCCACTGGTGCACAAATCCGTGCACTGGGCCTCTAGTATGCATATAAGATTTTTGATTAATCTCTTCCCGCCCACCCTTCCCTCTGAGATTCATCAGTCTGTTCCATGTTTCCATGCCTGTGGTTTCCACTTTTGTGTTGAGCGTATGCCCCCTGGTGGTCAGTGCGCATCACAGCTACAGGCCACTCAGACAGTTGGCCAGTTGGCCAGTAACTTAGGCGCATATATGTGTGTGTGTGTGTGTGTGTGTGTGTGTGTGTGTGTGTGTATGTATATATATATTACAAATACATCCTTTTTATTAAATTCTAGAAAAGTAGGTATTGAGGCTCTTAAAGCTCTCTGACCAATATGGTATAATGAAAAAAAGCACTGAACCTGGCATTTTCCACTAATTCAATGAATGTTAATTAACTATCTATGCCCCAAGATGAGATATGATTTATGAAAATACATGCTTAGGGAAGGAAACAGCTAATATAATACAATGAGATATATGCTACAACAGAAATAATGTATAAAATACTAAGTTTTCTTATAGAATAATTTCAGTTGGAGAAGAAAAAAGTATATTAAATGTTAGTGCCTCACAATATGAAATTACAATATAAAATGGTGATCTAAAAACTAATTCCACAAAGTACAAATCTTAATGAACCAGAATCCTTAGAAAAAGGAGTATTATAGTTAAATTTTATTGTCAGTTTGTGTTAATTCTTTGGTATCATGAGCATGGTTTGGTTTGACCATTCTTAAATGGTTTGCTTTTTACGCCTAAAATCCTCATCTGAGCGTGGCTAGTGTTGCTCAGTGGCTGAGCATCAACCTATGAACTAGGAGGTCACAGTTTGATTCCTACTCAAGGCACATGCCTGGGTTGTAGACTCGATCCCCACTGTGGGGTATGCAAGAAGCAGCTGGTAAATAATTCTCTCTCATCATTGATGTCTCTCTCTCTCTCTCTCTCTCTCTCTCTCTCTCTCTCTCTCTCTTTCTCTCTCTCTCTCTCTCTCTCTCTCTCTCTCTCTCTCTCCTCTCCCTTCCTCTCTGAAATCAATAAAGAGACAATTTTTTTTTAAATCATCATCTGAGTCTGATGGTCATTAAGGCAAAAATTTTATTGTTTGGTAGTAAACTTCTACAAAGTTGTGTCACTCATTGTTTGAACAACCAAAAATCTTCTTTAAACTTTAGCAAAGTGAATTTTGAGTTTCATTTATTCCAATGATTCTTTGCAACTTTCAATTGTGACATCTATCACTGAAAATGTACAAGTAACTAGGGTTCTAGTGAAATAAAATATTACCAAATTTCTTATAAAGAGTAAAGTAGTAAAACTAATTCAACATAGAGCCCTGCTCACAGATAATATTAAAGAAACATTACATTAAATTTTATTCCACTTACCTACCTAGGGCCTGATTTAAGGCCCTGTATGCTTGAATTTCATACCATTGACGACCAGGTAAAAGACCTCTCAATTTTGAATGCTGGTCATTATATTGGCGCTTTAGTTCAACCTAATAATTGAAAAATATATTAAAATGTAGTAGGTAATTAAAGCTCATTTAAAAAAAATCATATTAACTTCTAACATTCCAAACATCATTTTGATAGGGTAGAGAAATTTTGTTTTTCTGTGCTAAATTTGTTTCAGTTTATTTAAAACATTTTTAAATTTTACTTTTTAAATGGAATTTATTGGGTGACATTGGTTAATAAAATTTACATAGATTTCAGGTGTATAATTCTATAATCCATCATCTGCTTATTACATTGTGTGTTCATCACCCAAGTCATCTATTCACCCTTACATTCCCCAAGTTCCTATATGTACATAATAAATTCCATGTGATACCTATTGCATTGAGAAATAATGCACATACAACAAAATTCACAAACTTCCAATGTACAGGGAGATAAGTTTTGATAAATGATTAGTCATATAATCATAATCAGAATATAAAATATTTTTAGCACCCAAAAACTTCTATCCCTTTTTCAGTTAATCTCCTTCACTACTGACCCTATTAACCAAAGATCTGCTGTTATGTCTTTTCTAGAATTCCATGTAAATACCATATAGAGTATGTAATTGTGCCTGCCTTTTTTCATTTAGCATAATGATTTTGGAATTCATTTATCAGTAGTTCATTCTTTTATGTTTATCTACTCTGATAATCTCTGCTTTTTAATTGGGATGTTTAAACCACTCACACTTAAAGGGCTATTGTTACAATTTGGCTTAAATCAACAGCAGCAGAATACACAATCTTCTCAAGTGCACGTGGAACATTTTTCAGGACAGATTATATGTTGGGTCACAAAATTAGTTTTAAGATCTTTAAGAAGACTGAAATCATATTAAGTATCCTTTTCAACCACAGAGCACGAAATCAGAAATTAACAACACAAGGAAAATTGGAATATTCACAAACACGTGGAAATTAACACACCTGAATAACCAGTGTGTCAAAGAAGAAATCAAAAGAAAATCAATATCTTGGTAAAAATAAAAATGGAAACCAAAACAATGGAATACAGCAAAAGTAGTTCTAACAAGAAGTTTAAAGCAATAAACACCTACATTAAAAAAAAAAAAACACACACACCTAACTTTAGACCTTAAGAAACTGATAAAAGACCAACTAATCTCAAAGTTAGCAGAAGAAAACAATTAAGATGAGAGCAGAAACAAGTGAAATATAGATCAGAAAATACAATTTTAAAATCAATGAAATTAAGAATTGAGAGTATCTTCAGGAAATGTGATTGAAAATGGTGATTGAAAATAGATATGCACATGCAAAAGATTAAAACTGAATCCTTATCTTACACTATACATTAAAGTCAACTCAAAATGAATGAAAGACTTAAATGTACGACCAGAGATCATAAAAGACCTAGAAGAAAATGGGAAGAGTTCCTTGACTTTGGTCCTGAAAAAGGTTTTTGGATATGACCTCCAAAAACACAGGCAGCAAAAGCAAACAAGTGGAACTGCATCAAACTAAAACACTTCTGCACAATAAAACAATCTATATGTATAAAAGGCTAAGGGTCCATCTGTTCGACTGGTAGCTATGATGCTCAATGACCACAAGGGGACAGGCGCTCAATGCAGAAGCTACCATGATGTGCACTGGCCATTTAAAAACAAACAGCACCACGGACCTGGCACTGACAAACACTCGGCTTCCCCCAAGTGGGACACAGGCCCCGCCACCACCCCAGAGTGATACCAAATTGCAGCCACTGGTGCCAAGACCCCATCACACAAAATGCAGCTCACAGCCCAGCCTGGAAACGATGGCTGTGGGCACTGGGTAATGATGTCACGTAGCAACGCCCAGCTTTCTCTCCTAGTGACTAGCATCCTTGGAGTTTCTTCAGCCCAGGAATCTGACTTGCTTTATAGGCAGGTGCAAACATTTTACAGTTCAACCAAATGTTTGTGAAGCTTTTCCCATGCCTCATCTCATTTGACCCTCATAGAAGTCCTGGAGTAGGTAGATAGGAGACTCGATAGAATCCTATTTTCTTTTCATTAGCAAGACACAAATAATGATATTAAAATATGTCTTTTAATTAATTTCCTTTCAATGTGCACAAATCCATGTGCCAGACACTAGTCAACAATATGAAGACACAACCTAAAAAATATTTACAGACCATATGTCTGATAAGAGGTTTATATCCAAAATTCAAAAACATACAAATGGCCAACAGGTATATGAAAGCTGGACCTCTCACCTCATGATTAAAAATCTTTCAGCCCAAAACAGTTTGGCTCAGTGGATAGAGCTGAGGGATCCCGGGTTCGATTCCAATCAAGGGCACATGCCAGGCTGCAGGCATGATCCCCAGTAGGGGTGTGTAGGAGGCAGCCAATCAATGATTCTGTGCCATCATTGAAAGGCAAATTAAAAACTGGAGAAAGGTTTTGTCATCAAATATACAATGAGCTCATACACATCACCAATAATAAAATCTGAGCTTCTTACCAAAGAGAAAAGTGAGTAATGTCTGTGAGAAAGCAGGTCACCAAAAAATGAATGATAAATGGCTGGTAAACCCACATGAAAATATGCTTACTTTTACTAGTAAGCAAAGAAATGTAAATTTAACAATCCCATTGTTTTTATTCGTACAATACTGACAAATATTTACCAAATGCTCTTATATTTTCCGACAAGAAAAGACAGATAATACATACAAGGATATTCATTGCATCTTTGTTTGAACTGAAGAAAAATAGGAAACAATATAAATGTCCACCAAATGGATCAATTTAACACATTACATTTACTCTGAGATAAATATTTGATTATTAAAAACAGATGTATATGTTTTTATATGAATATTTGGCATATATATACATATATATATATTTTTAAATAACATATACACACACAGACATATACACATGGCCAGGTATTATGTTAAGAATACAGACCATAATTTAGAGCAATGTCAATTATAAACCAGACTGACAAAAGACTTAAACTTAAACCCTGACAAGAACCACAGGGAGATAACAGTTTAAGGATTGTATACTTTGAGGTTTTCCCATAGCTCCCCTAACAAATTGTTAAACCATGCCCATATAAGTTTAGCATAATTGACTACTAACTGACTTCCCCACAAAAACAAAAAGCAACAACAAAACTCACAAAAATCGAAATTCTTCAGAGAATAATAGAATCCATAATCACTATAATGTACCAATTATAATGTCCAACATAAAATAAAATTATTAGAAAAATGTGGCCCATAATCAGGGGAAAAAAGGTAGTCGATAGAAACAAATCTAGAAAGGGCCCAGCTGTTGGAATTAACAAAGACTTTAAAGTAGCTCTTATATTTAGCTGAAACTGGTTTGGCTCAGCGGTAGAGAGTCGGTCTGCGGACTGAAAGGCCCCAGGTTCGATTCCGGTCAAGGGCATGTACGTTGTTTGCAGGCACATCCCCAGTAGGGGGTGTTCAAGAGGCAGCTAATCAATGTTTCTCTCTCATCGATGTTTCTAACTCTCTATCCCTCTCTCTTCCTCTCTGTAAAAAATCAATAAAATATATATATTAAAGTAGCTCTTATATTTAAATAATTTTAAAACATGTGACTTAATTAATGAACTTGGGGGATCTCAAAAGAGAAGTGGAAATTATAAAAAAGAACCAAATGAAAATTCTACACCTTAAAAATATAATAATAAATAAAAATTCATTGGATGAGCTTAATAACAGATTGGAAAAGGCAGAATTAGCTAGTAAATCTTAAGAGAGATCAATAGAAGCAATGAAACATCAATAAAAGCAAAATAAAGTCAAACATAACAAAAACACTGGTGTAAAAGAATCAAAGCATATGAAAGCAGTCAGCAATGATCTAATTAAATGTAAAATTGAGAGTTGAAACAATACTAATGCATATGATCCATTATATATTGCCTCGATGGCTCCACTTATTAAAGGTATCAACAATTTCTCACTTTTCCAAATGACTGAATTTACATTCATTTCATTCATTTTCTATCTTGGGAGTAATACACAGTCACTGTGTTAAAATAAACTACTTCTTTGCTGGAAAAGAAATCATAATAAATTCTGCTATCTAGTCACTGAATTTGATATTAGTATAATCATATCCCTTTTCAAAAAGACTCAGAATTATAGGGCATAAAAGTACATTCTTAAAAAAGCAATGTCGTACCAATAGGTACTAAAAACCCAGCTTTCATCTGGTCTTCAGAAAAATCTTTAAAAATCACATAGTCCCTAGAGAGTAAACTACTTTTCTACAAGGTCAGAAGGTATGGTATACATAATTCAGACTGACCTATTCAAATATATAAGTTAATAAGCTTTTCCCTGTAAAAAGTTCACCTGTAAAAAGTAAAATGCAAGTTCTGAGTGAAAGGAAATTATTATGATTTCAATTTTTTATACACTAACTGAATGAAAAAAAGGACATATTTTAAGTAGCTCTCGAGAATGCCAGCCACAGAGTTAATTACGCCTCAATAAAGCTTAACAAAGGAACCTAAATAAAAAAGAATGTAGAAATATTTAAAATATAACATTTAAAGTAGAAAAATTGGTATAATACGAGGAAGAAGTTTTTGGTAGTTTAAAGAATCACTCAATTCCATTCAATATTTATAATTTTGATTGTGTGCAAGATCTGTGAAAGGAAATAGAAATACAAAGATGAGTTAAAAATATTTTCTGCCTCCTAGTAAGAGCTTACAAAGGGAAAAATATGAGTGCCAATGGCCATCAAGTAAATATGAGTGCTAAAATATGAACTTTGATTACAGTATATAGGAGTTGAGGAATGAAAACACATTATGAATTTGGTCAAGAGTGTTGAGGGCCTTACCTGGAAAGGCAAAAGGAATGGAAAAGAGGCCCAATTTGTAACACATTGTGGACCTAGAGAACTAAGTGACAAAGTAGATGTGAAGCTTATTAAAGAGAGAAAAGTCTAAAATGACTTCAATGTTTCCAGCCACTAAGAGAA